AGGATTAGTATTTTCCATTTAATTCCACTACTTTATTTGCTTATCCTTGACAGATACGCGTATTTCGTCTACAATGTGCAGACTTCTTCAGTGTCTTGTACTAATACAGTCGAGTATTAGTACAAGACACTGAAGAAGTCTGCACATTGTAGACGAAATACGCGTATCTGTCAAGGATAAGCAAATAAAGTAGTGGAATTAAATGGAAAATACTAATCCTTCTCTCTCTCATTATACAGGTATTCCACTAAGACGCCCACATTCATCAGGATTCAGGAAAAGAATCAAATTTCCAGTATAATTTATTAAAATGAAAACCCGGTTTTGAGTAGATTTACCCAAACATTCACTCTTAATGAAACAGTTGAATTTGACTCAAAACGATGTCCAAGCATAATAATTAAAATTTGATACTTTGCATAGAACTAAATTTTGAGTGGTTGCACTTAGCTAGTCAAGATTAAAGTCGCTATATTCATAGTCTGGCGGATAGAATTTCGATCTATCAAAAAGCGGAACCAATTCAATGTATTTTAGGCCAACAACTGAAAAGGTACTATCAACTTTTATAAACAAACCGTTGATTATTCTTTCCTCGACGATCGAACGATAATTACCAGCATCATCGGATAGGGGAAACTTTCCCCAATCCGAAGATGGTGTTAGTTTGCGTAGGCGAGTCACGAGAAAAGGGTTTCCGAAGTTTTGTTCGCAATAGCTGATGTGCTCTTTTCTGTTGTTGGTCGTGATTTGTTCGATTGGTTCCGCTATTTGACAGCTCAATTGGTTCCCGAGATTCTATCCGCCAGACTATGAATATAGCGACTATAGTCAAGATGAGTACAAATTACTTAATTTTGAGTTGTTTCATCTTTCCGTATAGAAGAAATGAATTTTATCAGTACTGGTTTTGAAAGCAGTTTGTTTTGAAATGTTTCCTCTTTCTGTGCCGAAAAGTTCGTCACAATTCATTTTGTTTAAAAGAAGTTGTAGGTACGTGATGGAAGCCGTGATTTGAAAATTAGTTTTGGACACCCACTTGGAAAATCCAACGCGGTCAGGTTCAAAAATCACGAAGTTGTTGAAATTGACCGTGTGCAGTGTTCTCAAACGTTTCCGTGAGCGGCATACTTCACTTGATCTAAAAATGAACTATGCGGAACATGCTTTCCGGAATTAAAAATTATGTTTCAAAATTAGCAAAGGCTATACTCACCGAACAATAAATCACGCGCGATCGAGGTCATCTCACCGGGAAAATACGGTGGTTATTCTACACACTTATTTTGTGTCAATTTTTTTTTCAGTGTGCCTCAGTATGCCGCAGCTGTGATGGCAGTGCCGAAATGTCATTGAACTGACTTTTGTTTGCCTGAATAATGATTTGTATGGTAACCCGGTATTTTGACAGCGCTTGTTTTTTGTTTTGTTGATCGAAACCTGAGATGGAGTAGGTACAACATTTCTATTCCGAGATTCGGACTATGCGGGTGGATTTTGCCAAGATGGTCCTGGTTGGTGTAGCAGCAGCAGTAGTAGCAGCCGCTCCCATGTGGGAGCTGCATCGCTAATTCGTGTAGCCGTGGCCGAGACTGGTAACCTTGACCCGGTCACGACACCACTGTCAGCTGTTCTTTGTCTTCTCATCATCTGAACGCATAGAGCCCAGATAGGAGGAAATGTGGGCGGGCATTACGGGAGTCTGTGTAATGATTTTCATAACGGAGCTGGAGGATATTATGAACTCGGGAGGGATGATAATTTTGGGTGATAAACATGACCATTTTTCGCCGAAATGATGGGATTGTGGAGTGTTGCTATGCATACGATTGCTCTGATTTCTTCTTTCTGGGTGGTCGGAATGATTGTATGCAGTCCGGTGCGAAATGATGTACCTACTTCTTCGACCAGGCCAGGATGTGCGTAGACAATTCAATCTAGGAGAAACCATGGCGAGACTTGTGAGAGATTCACGGTTGTGATTGGAAAAAAAAAAATTGATTATCTTCTGGCACCATCAATAATAAATTTTAACACATGCACACTGCGCAGGCGTAGAAAAAGATAAGTGTTGTCAGTAACTTTAAATATCAGAAAAAATGTAACCATGGGTGCCAAACAGTGCCAATGACTGTGCCCAGGTGTGTGTGTGTGTTTTTTTTTTTTTTTTTTTTTACATAGGGTGGAATCTGCTCCCAGACACCTGAGAAGATAACTCAGGGTGTGGGGATGGGAGAAGTAGCGCTCCCGACCCACTAAACCTTACCCTGTGCTCTTGGCCCTTGCCCTCACCGGAACGACCCGAAAGCATTACATCATGGGAGGGGGCCGGTTGTGGTGGTGATGCAGTGAGCAGCTGTGCAGGGCCTTCCTCTTATTGTTCGCTGTTAATTGTTCGCCTGAGTTCTAGAGCAGACGTGATAGCCAGCCAACTGTCCACGGCAGCACAGGACAGATGTGACCGCTTACCAGCTGCGTGTGCTTAGCACTCTAAGAACCCGGTGTCACTCCTGCCTTTGCACAACGAGGGTTTGTGCAGGGCTTATCGACCTCCTGGGACGAGCTGGATGGGGCTCCAGCGTCCTTACTCTGCTGTAGTTCGTTTAGCCGCAATATCTCTCCCTTGGGTTCGATAATTAACATTTCCAGGGCACACCACGAGTAGGCGAACTACTTCATGCCCAGGTGTGTATAATCTTGTTTTTGGCACACTGTGCGGAGTGACCAACCCCTTGTGAAAAGTATACAATATTGTTTTTAAACTGGAACAAACTCACCATGATCGATATGCAATGGTGTGGACTAACACACTTTGAACCTAAACTGCTCCACCTGTGCGCTTACCTGATTCATATATGGTAGAAAACGAACCGAAACCCATCCAACATATCTAAAATGTATACTTTCTGCATAAGGCAAATCAATGTCATGGAGAACAGATCCACCTTCCCGACTCCCCCGCTGCACCCATGCAGCGACGAGTTCAAAGTCACAAGAAGAGCGGGAGAACGAAACAGAAGGCAACCACCGGACCCACTCTCCACGACTCTGAACGCAAACAGGCCTCGAATCATCCTCCACAATAACCACCACCAACATGAATAATAAACATTCCGCAAATCTTTTCTTACGTTGAAGCCTGTTGGAAAGTGATATGATCATATGATGCGAGGATGTGACCGTATCAACTCAGTAATGTTAAGACGCCTGAAATTGCACCAACAATATCAGTAAGCAAATACGGTCGCCTCTAGGTTACCGAGCCTCTTACAGCACAGCAAACCACTTTGACTGAAGATCTTTCAAGCACTGAATCATGAAGCTATTCAACTGAAATGATGTCCCCGAAAGCAGTCAACATTTTGTTTTCGATTTATGATCAAGTATACATCATAGTTTTCCTAAAATATCACTTTTGTCCGTTCCATTCCACCAGGGTTCCATTAATAGTGATTTTCTACAAACTTTTCAACACAAATCAAATCAAAAAACAAATGCCTCGACACTCACTCATCTAAATTAAAAAAAGAGATTGGAAATGGTCCCAGGACTCATCTTTGATTTTGATCCCGGATTCTGAATATGTATTTTTATTAATTTGAAGTTTCATTATAATTAAACAAGAAACACATGGTTGACACCAAATCGAGCTAAGCAAAGATCAAGAGCTGTGTAGGATTTGATCAATAGAAATGAAACAACACATGTAAAAATCTTAAATTAAACATGCTACAGCCTAAAGCAAGCAATCTGAGTTGCTTTTAAATCAACATTATCTCCACGAAAAAGAAAACATAATTTCTCAAAACCATAACACAAGTCTGGAAATATATGATAATGTTTGCTGCCTCCCTGCGAGCCGAAAGTTGGTGTGAAGTCGCGACCATACGCTGAAGTTGGTCCATTCTTACCGCCATCCTTGGGTTGTAATCTGGAACCGGTTCCGGCTGTCTGTACCCTGTGCAAAGTTTCGACATTAATGTGAAAGCTGTTGTTTCCATTGTTCGTGGTCAGGTAAATTTACGGTTTTATGGTTAATGCAGTTAATTTTAGTGAAGAGTTATTTACTTGTTTTTCGCTGCAAGGATGGAAATCAACATTTGGACAATAAGTTAAATTACTTGCAAATTGTTTCACGATTGTATTCTCCTATCAATGTTGCTACGATTTCATTTTAGATCGATTTCCACTTCTACATCAAATAAAATAATAGAACCGTTCCAGTCAATAACTGGCCTATTCAAATCAGCTAAGCTTCGCCTAGTAGCGAGAACCATTAGTCCATTATTTCCACTTCATTCAATCACCCCCAGATCAATATTGGAAGAATCTGCTTGGACTTGACGAATCCTTCTTGGATAACGTCAACAGCAACAAAAAGTTTTAATTTCGATTTCCTCCGTTTCCCGACCCTCCATTTCATTCCTTGTCTCGGAATTTTCAATCAACAAGTGGACAAAAATGTTCCCCGGAAGGCTCCAGTCCAGACAGCGAATCGGAATCACCACGAGATTGACGGTGATGGGAAAATTAATTAAATCCAAAATCAAAAGCAATCGTAACAAAAACAACGGGTTCGGATGTTGACTCAGCTCGGCGCCTTGGCCAACGGTTTTTCGAGGGCGTTGCGGGAGCAAGGGGGTTAATGGGAATTGAAAGTGGTTTATTTAGCTGCTGGAAATGGGGTTAATTTCCTTTGAAAACCGGACTTCTTTGCCTCATTTGAAGTCGCAGATTACCAGGAAGATTTGGGATGCGAGTATTTATGTTTCGCAATTTAGTTTCTCTGTTGTTGATGAAAATCATTGCTCTAATTGAGATTTTTTTCAATGGATTGGTTATCAGGTTGAATTACGCGAATGGACTAAGGACAATTAGTTAGCATTGTAGTTGTATTATTTATTAATAGAATGTGTATTTTGCAATATTTTACATTAGATCCAGTACCATATATCGAAAATTTTAAAATTATGACCTCACCTTAATTAGCCCAAGTTATAGCCCAACAAAAATATCAACTTAAATGGTCGGTTAGAAGATGGAAAAGTACTCCTGATCATCCTCGTCATCCTGTGAAGAAAGAAAATAAAAACAATTTAAAATCATAAGTTCATAATTCAGGATTCCCTTCACCAACATTAGTTACTTTTACACTACACCCTGGGAGACTGAATGTTGATATTAAAATTTCCAACTGATTGACAAATTTAATTATTCACTAAATCTGGCCGGCCCCCTTGCCTCCTGTGCCTTCGTCATCATTTTACAACCGGGAGACAGTTGCTCTAATTTGGCGTTTGAAATAAATTCTTCCCTACGAGCAACGGAATTCCATGGCATCAAGGTTCCATGGAAAAAGTTCCAGAGAAGAAAATGGTGAAAAGTGGGTGTTGGGAAAAGTTTGCTCATTTTCAATCTGTTTGTCGTGCCGACTGCGAAGAGAGGTAGGTATGGTAAGACAGTGTGCGAGGTCCTGCTCTGCTGAAGTAGATTGCGTGTGATCCGTCATAATTAAGAGCGTCTATTCATGTACTTCGTCGTGTAGACATAGGCCGTACTGTCGGGAGCATCGACGTTCCGTGCGATGGTTTTGATTAAAATTATGTTGGATAGAACGAAATATGAGCTTTGGTGGTGGAGGCAGCGGTGCTGGAAATTGTTGCTATTTCTTATAGGGTAGGTTTTTATTTCGAGATTGTCTAGAGGACCATACACAATGGCACTCATTAAAAATTTGACTGGAATAATTTTTCCCTCTGGGTTCTTCGGTGCTTTACTTGTTTGAGCATAGACATGTTTACAGTTTGAAACGGGAGAACCTTGATTAATCAATTTATTATATTTTCTGAATTGTTTTCATGGAATTTTTTGCGCTGATCTCGGCGAGGGTTGTGGCTTAAAATTTGAATGTCAACTATGCTTCTTCTTATTATTCCTAGCTTTGACACTCTTGCATAGGTCTTCAATTCCTCTCAACTTCGTGTTGTTTTAAACACTGTGATTAATTGAGAGCTTTCTATGCCAACCAATGCATGAGTTTGTGTGATTTTTGGCAAGCACAATGATACTCTATGCGCAGGGATGTGGAGAAAATTTCCAACCCTATAGACTCTCTCGACAAGACCGTAAATCGGACCAGCCACTTCTGGCTTTGAAATATCGTTCCTTTAACATTTTGAACACGATACCTTTGGTAAAATGTGTAACGACAAATTGGCAATATTTTATGTATAATTATTCATAATTATATTAATTTTAATTCTAATCAAACCGTATAAATCTTTTAAGCTTGTAGTTTCAAATGGCACCAATAGATTTAAAATTTGTCAATAAATGGTTGAGTTTTGATAAGTCAAACATTGCAAGTTTTCCGTTAAAGGGTGATACGGTCAAAATTTGGTCAATATCAACTTGACGTATTTCTTTCAATTTTGCATTTAAAAAACCTGAACACCCCTCATTTTGAAGGTGTGTGTGTGTAGAATGTTGCTCCTATTTTGATTTTGGAATTCACTCTTCAGTTGTCAAAATGCCGTCCAAGCAAGAAGAGCAGCGTATCAAAATTTTGCTCGCGCATCGCGAAAATCCGAGCTACACTGAAACAAATCGACATGTACCGTTTATTGGATCCATCTTATAACATAGCAATGTCAGCATATTTATTCATTCTATGTGATGATTGATAGATTCTATTGGATTATCACTTAAAAACTATGACTGCGATATGGAATGATTTCTATCGTAATTTCACATACTTAGTACTTGATAATACTTTGCTTCGAACGTGGTTAGCGAAGGTAAGAAGTATATGAATATTGTCTGATATATTTCATGGTGAAAAACTGTTGATATGTCATGAGTGGGAACAGACATCTAGAAACTAATGGAAAATCATATAAGTTTGCACTATGAGAAAATTCAGTAAAATATACCTGTTTTCATGATGAATATTGCTCACTAAAATATATATCTTATAAGATAATCATGTATATTTTATTGGAGTTGCTTTTACTGATTTTTGACGTTTGTTGATATGTCGCGTGTAAATAGACATGTAGAAACTATTGGACTGTCATTTAACTTTGCAGTATAGGAAAACATGTATATCTCATTGTAATAGCTTGCTTTGATTTTTGACGTTTAAATATTGTAAACAGATCTATACCAATCATTAAATAGTCATATAGAAATGCCTTTTAAGAAATCCAACAGCAAGCATTTGTTATTGCATGTTTTTCTGGGATGAATATCGCTCCCAATAAAATACATCTTACATGATTGTTCTTTATAAATTATTGAAACAATTTTCAACGATGTTAACGTACACTCATTCATATGATTATTGGTTCCAGAAAAGAATGTATTGAGATTGAAAAAAAAAAATGATTCTACTGTAATATTTACTTTGCTATGATTCTAATTGTAAGCCTTCTACACGGCTAATTCAGATTCCAGCCCTAAGTAGTACTCGAACTTCATGAGCCAGTTCTATCAAATCATATAATTTAGTCGTTGATTTATTGCTCACAGGTGCATTAAGAAAGATTTGAACAAACCACACCACCGAAACGGAACATAAATTTGTCAGTGCTATTTGTCTTCACTCTAGCAAATCGAGCATAAAGTTGCATTACATTCCATGTCGGGAGAGCTGTTCTTCTTCATGCTATTTGAACGAGCTCAATCTTGAAGTCAGCCGTGGCCCAGTGGAATCGAGCACAGACACCGAAAGCATCACACCTCAACAGATCTTGATCGAATCCCAAATCAGCTACAATAAAAAAAAAGGCACAACTGTGAAAGCTCCCACTGCCTGATGTTTATTTTTCGAATTTATTTTTAGAAATCGATTAAATATATGTGTCAAAAGAAGAAGTAAATTTCATGTTATTTTCACATAAACTTTACTTCGATTGATTTATGACACATATATTATATTGTGGTGAAAAGTATAGCTTATGCTTATGGGTTTCAAATCCATTTCAGTTAATTATTATAATTTAATCGATTTTCATTTATCATATGACGATCATATAAAAGTTACCAAATTATCAGCATTGTAAATGTATCAGATATTCATATAGAATTTACCTGACACATTTTCAATCATATCATTTTCAATGGATTATCTTATAGCGCAAATTTATTAGACTTCCACATAACAGGAATATGTCAAATTCGTTCAGTGTACTCGCACGCAAAGTTGGCAAAATCGCTAAAAGTTGCCAAATCAACCGTTACAAATGTAATTAAAGTGTTTGGGGAACGTTTGTCGACAGCCAGGAAGTCTGGATCGGGGGGAAATCGAAAGCCGGAAGCCGCTGAGACGACAAAGAGAGTTGCCGGTAGTTTCAAGCGAAACCCTAACCTCTCTCTCCGAGATGCCGCAAATAAGCTGGGTGTATCGTCTACAACCGTGCATCGAGCCAAAAAACGAGCCGGACTATCGACTTACAAGAAGGTAGTGACTCCAAATCGCGATGATAAACAAAATACGACGGCCAAAGCGCGATCCCAGAGGCTGTACACGACGATGCTGACGAAGTTTGACTGCGTGGTAATGGACGACGAAACCTACGTCAAAGCCGACTACAAGCAGCTTCCGGGACAGGAGTTTTATACGGCAAAAGGAAGGGGAAAGGTAGCAGATGTTTTCAAGCACATGAAACTGTCAAAGTTCGCAAAGAAATATCTGGTTTGGCAAGCCATCTGTACCTGTGGCTTGAAAAGCAGCATTTTCATAGCTTCCAGGACTGTCAACCAAGAAATTTACGTGAAAGAGTGTTTGAATAAACGTCTGCTGCCTTTCCTGAAGAAACACGGTTGTTCCGTACTGTTTTGGCCGGATTTGGCATCTTGCCATTACGGTAAAAAGGCCATGGAGTGGTACGCCGCCAACAACGTGCAGGTGGTTCCCAAGGACAAGAACCCTCCCAACACGCCAGTGCTCCGCCCAATTGAGAAATACTGGGCTATTGTCAAGCGGAACCTAAAGAAGACCAAAAAAACTGCTAAGGGCGAGCAGCAGTTCAAGGCAAACTGGCTTTCTGCGGCGAAGAAGGTGGACAAGGTGGCTGTACAAAATCTGATGGCAGGGGTCAAGCGTAAGGCCCGGCAATTCGGATTTGGAAAAGCGGAAGCCTAACTGAATATTTTTCCTGAATTTTATACTAATTGAACTTGAAAAAGAAATTTAATTTGATTTTTTAAATAAACGATTTCACCGATTTACACGCGTTTTCCCTTGACCAAATTTTGACCGTATCACCCTTTACACATCTTACTACACATCGTGTTCGGAGTGTTAATGAATAAGCTGAGACCCGACAGTCGACAATGTTGTTGAAGTCATTCCACAAGTTCCATAAAACTCAACTGTTTCAGAATCAAACAAGTAAGTGTTCACTCGGCTGTCAACAGAAGCAGACCACTCTCAATGTGTGGTCCTCCTCATTGTTCTTCATCAGCAGTTCTTTCAGTCGTTGCGTCGTCGCCTCTGGAAAGCAACCATTTCGCGATGAATGTGTGATTGATGACCACGTTTTGCGTCCATTGCTGCAATGGAAGCACTCTGACCCCCGTTGGCGAATCTGCCATACAATGAAACCGCTCGAAGTGGCTCCCGTTCTGGTGGAGGAGGCTTTTTGGATAACGGAAAATAAAATGTTTATTGGGTTGTACCTTTTGACTATAGTTTTAAGATGTATTGTATAGTGAACAAGAATCCTCGGCTCTGTAAAGTTAATTCGGTTGAGTCTTATCAAATTAATTAATAAACAAAAAAAAATTAATCATACAAGTTTATTTGTCGAAATGTTTTTATTTTGTTAGATATAAAGCATACCTAAAACCATTTTTTACTTAGTCGAACACATTTTTAAGTCATTAAATTTGTGAGCGATGAATTAAGAAAAGATTTATTTGCATGTTTTAACGGAATTCTTAGTACTAAATATTGTACTCGAAAAAATGCAACACTTTATTTTGTGCATGATTTTTTATTGCATCTGTAAAAATTGATGAGATTTTGAGTAAAACTAGTTTAGAGTGTAATGTTTACATGTGCAAAA